TTTGATTTTTAATTTCTTTAAACTTCGAAAAAAATTTAACATCAAAAATTATAAAATTTTCGCTTATTAGATATTAATTGCCAATTTTATTTTTTTTACACATTCTACGTCAGAATTATTAATTTGATTGAATTTCGCTTGAAATTGTGATTTTTATGCCTATAGTATACAGCATTTTCATACCCTACTCCTTTATTGCTCTAATTCAAAACCTAATCAAACATTTTTCTCACTCTTTATAAATCTTTTGCAGATGTAAATTAAATAATTAAATAAAAATTAACGAAATAACATTTACAATGCGTTTGTATAAGTGTGCCTAAACTGAAAAAGCGCGTTGAATTAAAAACGATTAACATTAAATGTCGAAAAATAAACAAAAAAAAAAAAAACATTTATTTGAACCAAGTAACTTATACAAAATAATACAAAAATTTTACGAAACTCCGTAAATGCCAAAAAAAATAAATTTTCACAACAATAAACGCTTATACTACCAAAGCTATTTAAATTATCTGCCTGCCCGTACGCCCGTTCGAAAGTCTGCTACTCGTACAACCAAACCAACAACATGACCACCAACAGCACCGTTACTTTGCTACCTACCTAATACTAAACGCTAACTATAAGTACTCGACAGTAAACTATAAAACTGCTAACAAACCACCTTAAAATATAATATTACTTGAAACTGCCAAAAATGTTTTTATATACTACTAAAAATACATAAATTAAAAATACAAAAAAACAACGCATATAATGTAATTATGCGTCGCTATAACTTACGTTTAATTAATGCTAATGCTACAAAATCATACACACGCGTCAACAACCAACAATGCAACCTGCAACAAGCTATGAATTACAGAAATATATAAGCAACACACACAATTCGCAATGTTTTCAACGGTAAATAAAGAACAGCTGTTCAATAAACGCACACAACACCTTAAACGTGGTGTAAGCACATTTACGCGTTCGCGTTATGTGCGGAAGCGTAATGAGTAACCGATCGAAGTACGTGAAATGCCAACTGCTATTCCACTTTTTTGCTTAACCTCGAATTCGAAACGCAAAAATGTGTGCAATAAGTAGTGAATGTTGAGCTACTGTCATAAAAAAATAGAAAAATCAAAAAATTGACTTTTATAACTAAAATGTGAAACTACGAATTGTGTGTACGTGTGTTGGGCCACTTTTGAAAATTCTGTTTGAGTTGAGGTAACTAACCGGTTTATATTTAACAATTACTCATTAGCAAGCAAATTACTATCTATTACTAACAAAAATGCAATTTTTCGTCTTCAACACTTTATTAACAATTTAAAAATGCATATTTGTAATGTGTCACTAATACTAATTCATTTGCATGCTTAGTTTTATTACTAAAAGAAAATGTATGTCTTGTAATCACGAACTTTCATTGTATTGCATGCCATTCATAGCTTTTTGTAGAAATTGTGAAGATCACTTAGCAACGTTAGTTACAAAGGGGACATTGCTAGGTAGCTGAAAATACTTGGAACTATTAATGATAGATTTCAACGGCGAAATTCGCGAAAGTATTATAATCTGTTTATCTTCGAAGAAAGTTAGTTTAATTAATTATATCAACGGGACCCATTAAACTGCAGATCACAGCTGTTATATTTTTATAATTTCTTTTAGGGACCTTTGGTAATACCACGAATAATATGAAGCTAAAACAAACTATGGTGTTTCTTTAATTTTCTCAGCAAAAATAGCACCATGTTTTGGAAAGTTTAAGAAAATAAAATTTTTATTTTGTTGGAAATTCATTTTCATTTATTAAAAATAAATATTTTT